AACCACCATGTAAGCTTGTGCAGACTGATTATGGATAAAAAAATAACTAGTTGAACACTTTTTACAGCCAGAAAGATAGTGCCACACCACCAGCAAATACCTGGCTTACATGCTTTGCTGCTACTGTCCCAAGAGGAGATGCAGAAAATTTATCCTTTGCATCTTCTGTGACTGTTCTCCTTTCCCTGCTTTTTACTGAACTTGGGTTATTTTCCTGCAAATACTTTACTATCACATGTAGGACTTGCGTTAAAAAAACAAAAACAAACATACAAGGCAATTTATATTCAAATGAGAACATGGCAGAGAACCAAAATAAAAATATTCCCAAAATAAATACATGGATTGTTTAGACTAGAACACGTGCTTGGTTGCCATTTGTTTCAGCCCTGTTCATGCTTGTTTAACACATTTTCAGATCTGTTTACTCTAAGGCACAGTCCAACACAAACGTGGAAATCAAAGAGGGAGAAAAAGGCATGGAGCAACTGCAATCATTTGAAAATGACCAGTGCTAAAAAACCAGCACAGCTAATTAGCTAATTACTGCCATGGCTCAGGGATGCCCTGCCAGCTGGGAGTGGGACCAACGCTGGCTCCACAGAGAGCACGTATGGAGGAGAGCCTGGCTCTGGGGACACTCTGGGGACACCTGGCTCAGGGACACCTGGCTCAGGGACACCTGGCTCAGGGACACCTGGCTCAGGGACACCTGGCTCAGGGACACCTGGCTCAGGGACACCTGGCTCAGGGACACCTGGCTCAGGGACACCTGGCTCAGGGACACCTGGCTCAGGGACACCTGGCTCAGGGACACCTGGCTCAGGGACACCTGGCTCAGGGACACCTGGCTCAGGGACACCTGGCTCAGGGACACCTGGCTCAGGGACACCTGGCTCAGGGACACCTGGCTCAGGGACACCTGGCTCAGGGACACCTGGCTCAGGGACACCTGGCTCAGGGACACCTGGCTCAGGGACACCTGGCTCAGGGACACCTGGCTCAGGGACACCTGGCTCAGGGACACCTGGCTCAGGGACACCTGGCTCAGGGACACCTGGCTCAGGGACACCTGGCTCAGGGACACCTGGCTCAGGGACACCTGGCTCAGGGACACCTGGCTCAGGGACACCTGGCTCAGGGACACCTGGCTCAGGGACACCTGGCTCAGGGACACCTGGCTCAGGGACACCTGGCTCAGGGACACCTGGCTCAGGGACACCTGGCTCAGGGACACCTGGCTCAGGGACACCTGGCTCAGGGACACCTGGCTCAGGGACACCTGGCTCAGGGACACCTGGCTCAGGGACACCTGGCTCAGGGACACCTGGCTCAGGGACACCTGGCTCAGGGACACCTGGCTCAGGGACACCTGGCTCAGGGACACCTGGCTCAGGGACACCTGGCTCAGGGACACCTGGCTCAGGGACACCTGGCTCAGGGACACCTGGCTCAGGGACACCTGGCTCAGGGACACCTGGCTCAGGGACACCTGGCTCAGGGACACCTGGCTCAGGGACACCTGGCTCAGGGACACCTGGCTCAGGGACACCTGGCTCAGGGACACCTGGCTCAGGGACACCTGGCTCAGGGACACCTGGCTCAGGGACACCTGGCTCAGGGACACCTGGCTCAGGGACACCTGGCTCAGGGACACCTGGCTCAGGGACACCTGGCTCAGGGACACCTGGCTCAGGGACACCTGGCTCAGGGACACCTGGCTCAGGGACACCTGGCTCAGGGACACCTGGCTCAGGGACACCTGGCTCAGGGACACCTGGCTCAGGGACACCTGGCTCTGGGGACACCTGGTCCCCAGGTACACCTGGCTCAGATGCCCTGGTTCCAGCTCCCAGCCCTGCTGAGTGCCAGGGCCTGTGTGCTCACTGCCTTTTGTGCAAACACTGCTGGTTTCCAATTCCTCCCTTGCACCTCAGGGAATGCAAGGCTGGGGCAAGGGAGTGACTTCTGCAATGAACTGAACCAAAATGGACCCTTTTCCCCCCACACACCTCACCAATCACTCTTAAATAATAATAAAAGGAAGTTTTTACACATGTTGAATCCAAATCCAAATAACTCACCAAGATTACAGAATAGTTCACTGACACACAGATGGGAAATTCCTGGGCACCTTTCTTCCAGTATAAAACAAACAGATAAAACAGAAACACTACCAGAACTCCTGCTAAATTACTTCTGCTTTTAATAACTGAAAGTTTCAGTTTTCAGTACAAAGCAGCAACAAATCCAAAGAGTTCTACCTAATGCAGAGTGACCACAAACTGCACACAAGCCCCTTTCTCATCCTCACATCACACTGGCATACAATTTACATCGAATTAGACTTGCATTCTTTTCTCAGAGATACCATGGTGCTGTGTCTAGGGCTGAAGGATGTTCTGAAAGCTTGCTGGTAATTAAGCAGACTGGGCAGCACTCTCCTGGTATTTCCAAACAGATTTCTTGTGTCAACAGACCAACTTCCCTACCAGACTTCCACCCCAGCCCCAAATCCCCAAGTTCAGCGTTACAGATTACCCCCACACATCTGTCAGCATGAAAAAATGTGTCAGCAGAATAATTTTATCTGCCAAGGGCTGCCACATCCTGGCCTGCTTTCCATAATCTCAAAACAGCTGAAAGCAGTCCCAGGGTGCTCCATGAAACATCACAAACATCTCACCACACACACATGGCCAACAAGACTGAAGTCCAATTAAAAAAATGATGTGTTAGTCTTAATTAGTGCAACAGACATCCATGAATGCAGAGGGAAAACCAGAAGTACCTACACAGCCACCCATGCAGATGGGATTGCTCTGTGGGATGCTGAGTGCCAAACACTGCACCCTCCCTGATCCACTGCCTGCTCTTCAGCCTCACACCCCAGCCCCAAACAACCCAACTGCTTCCCTGCTTTCTCTGATTTGACAGAAACAGCTAACCTACACCTCTGCCCTCTTGTTTTACCTCCAGTCTTCAAAAGAACCCACCACTTCCCTAAGAAGCATCTTACAGTAAGGCCAGAAAAGGAAATTTCAACAGCTGGTACAGATTTTAGGGGGTGAATTTCCAGTGATTTTGCTTTTTTTGGATGTCACTCTCTCTTTGAAATGGTTCATTGGTTTTAAGTAACAAAACATTCACTGCTAATATGTTTGGATCAAAACATCCTGAGCCCAAATGCTGGCACAGCTCCATTCAGGTGTGGAAGTGAAATGATTCCTTACACAGAAAAAATGGCAACACAAGGTTTCAGAACATACTTACCTCCAGCTGACCACTGCATGGAAATTAGAGATTCCACAGTTAGCTGATTTGGGGGAAAAAAATCAGTGGTTTTGCTGAACTTTAGCTTTTTGCTAAACTCTAAGTTAGCATGGATATTATCACAAAAATTTACTTATTTCTGTAAGAAATTGCAGGGACTGAAAAAAGCACATATATTGGAAGCTTCTGTTGTGAAGGGCTAAAGAGAACAGCAATCCTGTCGTGTTCATGGAGCTGCCATTCAGTGACACCTTTATAAAGGGGAGAAAATGTGTATGGGAGGAGTGAAATCTAAAGAAATAGTCTGTAAATCCCACATTCTGGGTCTTCTAAAGAGTATTGCACAATCATTCACACCACACAGCCTAGAATTTTAATTGCAGTGTGAGCATTTCTTCTTCTAGGGAGGGAAAAAAAAACCAACCCAGAAAGAGTAATTCTTGCAAATTTGCAATTACATTTCTCTTCATTGCCTAAATCCAGTGCTGATGCAAACCACCTGGTTCAGGCACAGCAGTTCCACTGGCATGCTCAGCTACTGTACCAGCCAGGAACAGTCAGACATCCAAGGATTTCTTCTTGCTTTACCTACTTTATTAAACATCAAATCAATCCCTTAGTATCTGGAAGATGATTTTTCTGCCTGATAGTCAAAAATCACAATACAAATTCTAAAGACACTAAGAACTGGTCTACCTTAGCATCATCCATATCAAAGCAAAATTATCACCTGTATTTCACTTCCTGAGATAAAGGATATTTGCAGTAGGTGCAAATACTTCAGAAGTCATTTCAGCTTTAGCAGATTTTCTACTATTAAAAATACAAACATCACTCTCTGAAACTCTATCACAGTCAGAAACAAAGTCTTCCTGCATATTTATCCCATTCCTTCAGTTTGACTGGGGCACTGAGGACAAATGGAGACACTGCTGACTGGGATCCTACTGAAATATTGTGCCTTTTTGAAAAGTGAACAGCTCCATCTCAAAGGTCTTTATGTTCCAAAGCCAAGTTAAACAGACAGGCATGTGCAAGAAGTATTTTTTTTTTTTTTATTCTCCTTTCTTCCACAGGTTTCTTTATAAAGTGCCTGGGAGGTGATGTAGCATTTCCCTGCTGCTCTCTGGCTCCTACACCCTACAGATAACAGCTCCAACAGGAGAGGTTTCTGATTACCACTTCCACTAACCAAGGAGAAGGAACAACCTCTTCACCAGACCTGGGAGCCAAGGGCTCTGTAACGAGGGAGATTGCAGCTGGACACATCTTGCAGTCAGGACTGCAAGGCACAGAATGTACAGCAGGATTTCCTGAGTGTTTTGAGTACTAAAGCAGCTTCAAGTCACAGCTACTGAAATTAGCACAGGCATGAGCAAGCAGACCAGCTCTCCAAGTCTGACTTCTTTTCCAAAAAGGATTCTAAACAGAGTTCTTAATCTCTGCAGGTAAAAATGGAGCAGACAAACTGCTGTATGCTGCACTGAACAAAAAAATGTCAAACCAGGAGAACTGAGAGGTACAAGATCTAGTTCTTACTGCCAGAAGGATTCCAAAAATGGAACCATTATACAGATGCATCTTCCCCCAAGCAGGAGGAGAATAAAGGACATTTCAGATTTCAAGTGCAAGGCTTTAAGACACAGCAATGGCTGTTATTAATGATTCCAACAAAAATATCAGGACAGCTAACTTGCTAGGCAAACAGGAACTTCTAAGCAGCTTACCTCAATGGACCGTAATTCAACATTATAAAGGCCAGTATCACCATCACACACAATGTTCTTCTCTTTGGAGATGACACTTTGAGCTTCTGGTTCTAGACAGAGAGAACAGAAGACACTGAGTAAAAGAGGGGTGCACATATGCAGGGGTATGTCAGAAGCCAAGTACACTAAATTATATTTGCTTTTTTGATTTATACTTGCCTAATTACGTGTGAATACATTCCTGAACTATTTAAAAATAAAACTTTGGTTTATACATTATATTCCACTTTTATCCAGTGAAATATTCAGAAGCACCATGAAGTAAAGAATTAAAAGTCTACCAGATAATGTGTCAGAGTTGGTGAAAGTCTTGCTTGGAAAGGGATGCTGGGCCAGAAATCTTCAAAGGTCCTTCAGTCAACATCACCCCATGTCTGTTCAAGTGCCTTCCACTTAAACAACTGTTTTCATATGAAATCAGACTTTCATCACAATCTCTCACCTCTAATACCACTTCATCCAGCTGCCTCTTCAGCGTGCTGTTTTCTTTCTTGAGTTTCTCATTCTCCAGCAGGGCTGCCTCCAGCCTGGCCTCCAGTCCCAACATGTATTCCTTCTTTTTCTTGCGTGACTGGAAGGCTGACTCCCGGTTTTTGATCATGCGCTGCTGCCGCCTCAGGACGTTGGCCTGAACACACAAAACACAGGCTGTTAACAACCCTCGAGTTAAAACTGCCTCTGTTTCATGCAGAATCTCTGCTTTGGCAAAGGTCTGCACAGATAGCTTCCCACACTCTGCTTCCAGTGAGCTGGAATGGTCAGCACAGAGGCACCTCAGGGTCATGGTACACCTAAGGGAAAACAGGTCCTGCACTGCCTCAGTTTCCTTCTGTATTCTCAATATTCTGTATGCAGGGGTCATCAAACACACTCGAGTTTGATTTGATCAACCAAATCACAAAGAGAGAAAATACCTCTCTTCAGGTCTGCAAGGCACCAAGAATGCCTTTCACCTTGACTCCTCCCTGCACCATTTTACAGGCTACAATCTGCTTTCCTAACAGGAAATTTCTAGGGTTTTCCAGTCTGTTCTGTCTGCAAGTCATTTCCACACTGATTACATGTTTCTGTACCTTTTCCACCTATGCTACACAGTTTTTGAGGTTTCGAATAGTGCTGCTAATCTCAGATTGCACATTCTGTGTGTATCAAGCACTCACACAGCAGTTTAAATGCAGTCTCTGGGTGAATCTACCCCAACATCCTAATTCAGATCAGGAGGGTGGCTCAGTTTCCTGACTGTCCCACTAAATGTGCTTCACTTCACATCACTGAGCAGTCTCTGAGAGCACACAAACTGGATTCCTTCGGGGTGAAGCTCAACCAGCACACCAGTTATGTACTCCAGGAGAGCACATAACTCACTCTAACCACTAGCAGGCATTCAGTCTGCAAGACCAGACTGGGACAGCCCAAAGCAACCCCTCCCCATCCTCCAGCAGTCCTGATGACTGATTTTTTTCCCAAGCAGGAACACTCCATCATCTTTTACCACTTACTCATTTTGTGGTTTGCACTGAATGGGACAACCCAGACCAAAATCATCTTGCTGCTGACAAGGATAAACAGTGATGGATACTGCAGAACTACACAAAACTACTAGAAATCCTAAGTTTAAACACTAGTCTGTTGATTTCCTTTCCCTCACAGATTAGCAACTCTCTTTTCATTAGGAACAGAAGATCTCCATCACATTATTAAGTTGCAACTGGAAATGCCTTAATGACCATTACATTGACAGATAACTGAATGATCCATCTTACACAGACCTGAATATTTCAGTACCTACCACCACAGGCACTGCTGTAATCTGTATCTCTCAGAGAAGGAATATTAAAGAAGAAAAGGTAATAACTATTCCAGAAGTATTATTTTGGGGAAGCAGTATAATCACAGAATAGTAACATTAACTAACTCAGATTTTGAGTCTGGCTATGTAAAGAACCTTACCCACAGCTCTTCAGCTCTCTCCCTGTATCTACCTGCACACAGTATGCTGTTCTAGGGCACTGGTGTTTTTAACAAAAAGTGGCCACAAGCTGTTTGAAGACATCATTCTTCATGATGCTGCAGTTTGGTGACAAAGATGAAGAAAACACGTTTACAGTGCATTAACGTTCTGGGTTGCCTCCATGTTGGTCTAATTGCTTTTATAAAGATCATTTATTTAATGTCTAGTCTGCTGCCACCAACAAAAGTCTGTGAAAGTGAAGCTGTTTGTACTCCAGCTACTCTCTTTAGAGTGGAGAAGGAAAAGATTTTAACGTATTTTCATTAACACTAAGCTTTGTCTTGAATTTTTTAAGTACTACAACATTTAACATAAAAAAGCTTCTGCAGACATATAAAAACTGGACCAAAAAAAAGATTCAGGCTAGCCAAGAACTGCAGTGTATAGAACACACCAGTCTGGGGCCAGGATCACTTAAACTGTTCAGAGATGAAAAAACAAGGAATGAGTTCATGCAGCAGCTTTGGCTCAAGTTGTGAACTCCAAAGAAGGAGTTACATTCCCCTTTTCAAAAAGAGGAACTCAGAGAAAACCAAATTGTTTACATCCATTCTTGTCTGCAGACCTGCTCAGGATTATTCATTACTGGACAGCTTTTAATCACGTGTCTGGAACCTCTGGCAAATGTAGATGCTTCCCTGAAGAAAATAAGGTGTTAGAGCACCAGTGCAGTGACTCTGCACTGAGAGTACATCCTAAGGTACATCTGTCACTTGTTTCAGACACTGCCATCTACATTTTGTGTGTTATTTTTTATCCAGATTGCTCTACTTTACTCACAGTTCTCCAGATGCTGTGAGGAACATGAGCTCTCCCCAGCCTGATTCCAGGTACTCTGTGGAGTACCTGCATTTCAACCTATGCCACACCAACTACTTTCTGACTCATTTTTAAACCTTGCTTAAACAAAATCCAGTACTTGTGTCCTTAAGATATTCTGTTTTAATTTACAATCTGCAAACAGCTTAAGGTTCTCCTTGGTCAGCCTTCCAGCTCTTGCCTGGCTTTTCTTGGGGACTGTGCCACAACTGCACACCCAATCCAATCCCACCTAAAAGTGATGCAGGAAATGGGAAGAGCTGGGTGAGTGAAGTGGAATGGGAATGCTGAACCTGGAAGCAGTATGGCAATCAGCACTACACAGCTGGCCCAGCCCCAAGGCAAACATGCCCCCTGCTCCAGCACTTTGACACTCGGGAGGGAGAGGAACCCATTTACAATGTCACTCTTTGACACTCGGGAGGGAGAGGAACCCATTTACAATGTCACTCTTTGATACTCAGGAGGGAGAGGAACCCATTTACAATGTCACTCTTTGATACTCAGGAGGGAGAGGAACCCATTTACAATGTCACTCTGCTTCAGCAGCATTGCTTTGCACAAGTGCTGAACCAAGATTAAAGGTAGCAAGTGCCTGCTAACTTCTTTTGCAGCCTCCAACTTTTAAAGTTGTATTGAATTGATCTTCCACTCAAGATAGCATCTTCTGGTTCTAAGGAAACACAGACCACAGAGGGAGAACATTGGCCTTAAAAACAATCAGGAATCAGTGATGCAACTTCTGCTTTTCTGGCTTTGAAAACCAGACCACCACGAGTGGAGATATATACAAAAATGCTGTGAATATGGAGAACTGGAAGGTTCATTGCAAACCTTCAAACATCACTTCAAACAGCATTAACCAGATTCAGATTGTCCTTTATCTTCAGAGGTTTTACAAAGAGTCATGCACTTTACAAATAAACATTGCTACCTCAATTTACTTCCAAAGAAAACTCAATTATGAGTAAAATTTAACCTCCCTTCCAACACAAGCTGTACCTCTAGAAGTAAGATTGTTTCTCATACTCCAGAGAGTTTTTTTGTACACTGCTGGGAAAGTTAACAAAATGCTGAAAGTACAAACCATTCAATGTAGCATTAGCTGCTTCCCACCTCAGCTTATGAAAGCTGCTGTCTTTGAAGACACATCTTTGACTGCAGGAATACAAAACCTATGCAAGGTATTTTTGTTCTTATGGAAGTTCAGGGTTTTCCTGTCTCTAACTCAACAGAACACAACTTGCTTAATGTGATTATGTTACACAAATACTGCACAATGTACAGCACAGAAACAAGGACTCTCAACAGAAATCCACACTTATGCTGAAGTTATTTTGCATAATGAATCTTTTCTAGATCTGCAGTATTCTGGCACTTCCCCATGGCTGGCAGGCTGCACATGTGTGCCACCAGGTTACCCAGGGCCTCAGCCCTGCCATCAGCTCACACTGCTGTAAACCACTGGCAGGCTGAGTGTAAAGCTACCAGTTTATCCCTCCTAAACCCAAAAGAAAGTCCTGCAGTGTTTCTTTTTATCCTGCAACATCTGCTCAGATTAGCAAACAATAACAGGTGTTACTGAGCTCAAATGACAGCTCCATCTGTGCAGCCCTGAGCTCCACGTGTGGTGTCCAAGGCAGCCCAAGGAGATGCTTTAACCCTGCTGGCTCCAGCTGAATCCCAAAACATTTGTTTTTTCTGAAAGCACTGTTTCACACTATGTGCCAAAGAGCAGCTGCAACTGTTTTGCCATGTAATAAGCACAGGTAAGACGTGCAGCACTTCACAAGTCTTCAAACTGCTCCCCTAAAAGGGGGAAATGCCCACACAACCACCCTTGGAAACAAACAGCTGTTTGATACCCCAGCTACACATCTGACTCCTGTTGTCATGGGTATGTACATGGAGTATGATGACAAAAAGGGGCTTTTGTCAATTAAACCTTACATTCAGGCAATGGCAAGGTGCCATGCTAGCCCTGCTTACAGGGGGTCACAAATCCAATGACTGCAGGTCACTGATCTCTTGAGTTAACTCTGCGTGACAGGGAATTATCACTAAAAAATGCAGCACACTTAACTGCTCTGCCTACTGAGAGACTCTTGTTTGCTTCTTGCACACTGAATATCAAGTTTCCACTGTACTCTGGCTGCTCAACTACTTGTAGCACAACATTTTCATTATAAAATGCAGCCCACACACAAATATGATTAGTGAGGAAAAGTTACCATCAAGCCTGAGTGACAATCCCAGACACCAGGAAACCACACAGCATCATCCCTCCACAGGAGCTGAAGGAATAGGCTCCCACTGCTTTTGGGAAACAGTGACCTGCACTGCTAATAAGCAGGTGCCTTTACAGCAAAATTCCATGTGTTTCCACCAGTGCTTCCTCCCTTACACTGAGATGTGATAGGATCCTCAGCTCACAACTGTGCTTGGAATACCTCATGGGGGAATGACAGAGTTTTGAAGTCACCAACAAGAAGCTTTGGTCCTTTCCTCAAGCACGTCTTCTTTGGACAATAAAACACAATCAGAGCAGCTCCAAGTTACTAGGAGCTAAATGAAGTTAACAGCCAGCTGGCTAGCTGGTTAAGATGTCAAAACTGAAAGGGAAAAAAAAGCCCAAACACATCTCAAAAGCTACTCTTTACACTTACTGCTTACTGTGAGCTACTATGGAAAAACTTTCTTATTTGCACTGTAATTGTTGAGAGCTTAACCCTCTTCTACACATTCACTACACCATCAAAAGGGACCCTGAAGAGATTAGGATCATATGGAGCTCAGTAACTGAAGTTTCTAAAAATCATGAGTAAAATCTGGAGATCAATGGCTATGGAAAAAGAATGAGGCACTGAAATTTCCAATTCATCTGCCTCCAAAGAAAATGTTTTTATTATATGGATTAGAAAAGTGATTTAGCACTTATCAAAAATCAGATATATCCAATCTTCCTGTAAGTAAGAGAGATGCAGCCACTGAGAGGTTGCACTTGAGAAGACAAGGGGCAGAAAACACCTATCAGCACTGCCTTCTGCCACTACACTTGCACACCTGGCCTGCAGCTGTGCCAAGCTGCTAAACTCCCCGTTTACAGCTGGAAATCCTATGAAGAGTTTTCCTGAGACTCTGAAGGGACCATCAGGCCCCACATGCAGGTTACAGAGATGTGCACAGCCTTGGCCAGCAGCTCTCAGAGTCAGAACTCACGTCCAGCCCCGCAGCCGGGGCGCTGCTCTGCAGCAGGGGCTTCGTCACCGGGATTTTGCCGCTGCTGGAGCCGCTCCCAGCAGCTGGAGACAGCACATTCACCGTGTGGTTCTGAAGTGCTGGGGCCCCTCCTGCCACTGCAATGACTGGCTGGGAGGCAGGAAGCACCCCTGAAGACTGGAGCTGTACCACAGCAGGCTGGGGCAGCACCACGGATGGACCTGGAACACAAGAACAGCAGCGCTCAGCAAGGACGAAATGCATTTGTACATCACCACTTTGGAAGGGCATACTGCAATCCCCTCCTGCCCTGCACACCTGATCTCAAATCCATCAGTATATCCCACACAACAGGAATGGAAAGAAGCTGTTCCAAAGTTTACAGGACTCTTAATCCATCCTGCAAACTAAAACTACAGATATTACAGGAATCCAATAAACCGAGCTCTGCCCCAAAAGCTCTTCAAAGTTAATAAAATTCAACACTTGTTATATACATTACTCAGAATTCCTAATACTTGAAGCACTCTGAACAACCTTCTCAAAGAATTTAGCCAATTTACCTCAATCCTCCTTCTCCCTTTTTTCTATAACTACTGCTGCATTCAATAGAAAACTTACTACACAGAAGTGACTCGTGCCACACTGATCAAGTCAAACTAGCAGAGATGGAAGATGAACAAAAAAGAACAATGCAAGTTACACTTTCAAAACTTACACTGAAGCTTCAATTCACACCAAGACCATTGCTTTAGAAAAACATCTTATGCAAGGAAGTTTATACACAAACTGAACAGAGCTTAAAGAAAAGCCGGCAAAATGAGGTAATTTTGACAGAGTTTGAAATGGAATTAGAAACAGTCACTTCCAAGAAATTTCAGTCCAACAACTGCATTTAACTCAAGCAGGTGCTTGAGTAATATTCTGTTGTCTGAAAACACATTAATGTCTCTCTAATCCTTTGTAACAGGATGACCTTGCCAGCTCTCAGAAAGAGCACATTCCAGCTGAGCATTCCAACCAAAAAGCACGACAATGGATTACAGCATTTATCCAGCCTTCTGGAAGGTGGAAAGTGAAGCAATTTACCTCGTGCCAAGATCTTATGTATGGGGTAAAACTAGAGCTTTGTTTTTTTTATATTTTTTCAGACACCATCTTGAAGACATCAAAACTTAGTATGATCCTGTTTAAGAGTCTTAAATGATGAAGTTGAGACTACTTCAATTATTTTTCTAATGTGGAAAAGAGATGATGCTCTAAGACCATGCTTTCTCCTTCAAGCTTTTATAAAAGGGGCTGCAAAAATAAAATTTCTCATCCTTCTTGGAAGATAATGGCATATTTCAAACTGGTGGTTCCAACTTGTCATATGCAGAGGATTTAGAGTGATGAAAAAGATCCTTATGGTTTTTGTTATGGAAGCTGCACAAGAGAATTTTTAAACATATCATCAGTTAAAGGGAAGCATGGACATACTTTCTCAAAAGTATTTCCTCTGTATTGTCTCACAGAAACTACTGTCCCGACTTTTCTTCAGGGAAAAAGAGAAGCTGATCTTCAGAGCACTAGACTTATATCCAAAGAAATCCATATCCCCAGCATTCCTTATTCCAGATGGTACTTTATCAGCTGGAGCATCAGAAGGAATAAGAATTAGGTCACGCTGACAGTGCTGACCTGTGTTTTAAGCAGTCTAGCAATCTTAGGCATGTTGTAACAAATGTCAGCATCTCCAGATTTGGCTGAACCCCTGATGCAAGAGAAATCAGTAATGGAGACAAGTTTTTCCCAATTGCAATAATTTCTAGATACATGCCCTTAAGAATTTGTCTCCTTTTCCTTGCTCAGGGCCAGTGCAATCAGCTGCAAGGGACTGTGGCCATCAGCTGGTGGAACGAGCAACTGCAGCTGGCAATTCCTGCAAGGCAAGCAGTGTCCCTGCTGCGCAGGCTGGAGAGAGAAACAATGCTTTGGATCCAGAAATGAAAGCTCAAGCTGCTTCAAAAATCAGTAACAGGGTAACTGCAGGAATGAAGAATTATCACCGGGTAGGAAGTCACTTTCCTCTTAGCATCAGCAACTTTTCTAACCTCTGACACAGCTCTCAATTTCTAGCAGATTTCACAACATTCTATTTGATGCTGCTTAGTGAGCTACAAAGCCATAAACTCATGTTCCCACCATCCTGTGAAAGAGTTTTGTGTGGGTAAAAAAAGGCTTATATCACTTCTTCCAAGCTTTCCAGCTTCATCTCAACTGATTCTGCTGGATCTCCCTTCGGTTATAACAGAACAGCACTGTAATCACCTTATGTACCACCTGACACTGCAAGCAGAGCAGAGCAAAGCATCCCTACAGATCCTTCCAAATCAGCACTTTTATCTCCACAGCTGCCAGTGCTCAGCACAGCCTCTGTCCTCCAATCCAAACAATTATATAATCCAGCCTTCCATTTCAAACAATGCCCATGTGAGTGCTGCTCCTCACAGGACAGTACAAGAGGAGCAAGGCCATCTTCTCAGCCCAAAGATTTTCCAGCAATGCATGTAGGACCCTTTTTTCTATTCCTCCTCTTTCATACACCAAAGCTAACTTCATTCTGTCAGCCATCCCAAACAGACAATGCTGTCACTGTCTCATCATCAAGGCCTGGCCCAGCCAAGACCATTCCCTTACCTTTAGGAGGTGCTGGCTGGATGTTAACAACTGGCTGATTCTTTGGCAGGGGCACAAGCGTGGGAAGAGTCTGGATAATGATGGTTTTAGCTGGGATGCCAATGTTAGCCTGAGCTTCAGGCACAGCAGGCAAAAGGGGTTTGGGCTGTATCAAAGGCCTGGACACTGTCTGACCACACCTCTTCAGGCTCCTCGCAGAGTTATTTGCTAGAAAAGGAAAAAGAGTCAGAATTGGACCAAGAGGCACAAAATATATAATGCAAGCAATAATGAAGTGACTTTTAATGTGGGTTTTTTTACCCATCTGTAATATTTGTTAAAAATAAACACATCTGATTAAATATGCAAGTCATAAATGATAGGACATCTAGTGTCTGTTAGTTCATAATTTGGATGCAAGACACCACACATTATCTATAGGATTAAAGTAACTTTCTCTTTCATACCAGATCGAGAAGAGATGCTCACAGCAGGCTTCTTCCCCCCATCTCCTTCTGGGGATGCAGGGCTTTTGCAGCTCTTGCTGTAGAGAGAGATGGGAGACATCTGGGAGCTACAGCTGAAGTCCACATCATCCTGCAGACAGAAAGCACAGGAGACTAATGCTTCAGAAGCTCAGAGCAGTATGTACCAGCAGTTCAGAGTATATCTGCTTTTCATCACATCTGTGTTGCTGCTGCAGCCAACAGGAGAAAGGTTTTACTCTGCAATTTGAATCTGGTCAATGCCAGGTACCACTAAAAGAAAAAAACGCAACAAGTATTTCTCCCCATCAGCAGAGCAATGGGAGGCAAAGGTAAACACCTGCTAGACCCAGAAGCCTTTAGAAGGCACTTTGGCAACAAACCTAATGAACATAGCTGAGGAAAGAGAGCTGAACATGCTCTTATTCAAATGGGTCACAGAGAAGAGGCAAGAAAACACCACTGAGGGGATTTTGCAAGGGTTGGGTAAATAAGCTCTTTCTTCTTATGCCATGAATTTGGTGAGAGGAGTAAAGCACGGGGTTTTTTGTTTGTCAGAGCTGTTGCTGTGTGTGTTACATGTGGCTTTGCATACAGGCACATTCTGCACTGGAGAGTCCACAGACGGTGGCGAGGGAACCGAGCAGCTGGAAGCAGCTGGTGACAAAGGTTCTGTCTTCACGTTTGCATCTGCAAGAGGCAGGTAAAGACAATTTCACTGCACAAGCTTTTAGCAACAGGAGGAGTAAAGAACACACTGTCCTACACCAGATATTTAATTCCCAAAGCAATGCATGGCAGAAAATGTAGGGGGATTAAAGTTATGAAATAGCATGGCTTGTAGGTTGTTGCCAGCTGTACCCATCCTACAGAAACACAGCCTAATTCTCATCACAGAGCAAAAGGCTGCAGGGCACCAAGCGGCTCCACATGAGTTTTAAGAGCTCACCCTTGTGGGGAAGGAGGGGAAGAGTAGCACCTGCAAAACACAGAAGGTTTATTACCTGCATAAGCATGGCCTGTAATATTCCAAAGGTCCGAGTCCCAAGACATCAAATCCAAATCAAAATGAAAGTTATAGAGATCATTTTCCTGAAATGACAGTTCAGAAAAAGAGACAAATACAGAAAAAGAAAAATACATTGACACCATCAGCCATTATGTTCACATTCTTACAGCTCCAGAAAACAAAACAAACAACATATCTATCAATCACTTAAGGTGCCTTAAGGTATGCAGAGATCAAAGTCCTTAAAGGAGAAATTCTCAACTGAAACACACAAAACAAGGCTTCCTTTTAACTTACACCAGTAGGAAGGGGCAGGTCAGTTTAAGACCATCACTAATTACCGCATTCTTATTTGCAATTTGTAAAGCAAAAGTTCTAAATTCAGTCATTGAACCATCTCACATAAAATACAAGTTGCAGAAACCTGCTGTCATCCTTCATCTGCCTTGAAAAATTTATTTAATGCTCTTCCACCCTTACATCTCAAAGCACTTTACAAACAAAAGCAGCACCAGGGACAGTTTACCAGCAGGAAAACAGACACAAGACTGATTTGCCCAAGACCTGATTAACAGTGTGTGTTAAGTCTCCCTGTACTTAAATACACTGATGTCAACATCTAAAGCCAAAGACATTGGTTTGCTTTTCCAACAAAAATCAAAACAAACAGCCTAAAATCACTCCATACATATTATCATACAACCTTTAAAACAACAATTGGGGGGTTTATCCACTTACTCTGCTTGTGCATCTCTAAGTCTCAGTTTCCCGTGCACCTGTGGCCCTTCATGAGCACTCGCATGAAAAATACAAACATGACCTACCCAGCTTATACAAATATACAACAAAGATTTTTCTAAAAACTACACTGCAATTATACCTTCCCTTACGCTCCCAACTCGCCTTG